CATCTTCCAGAGGGGGCAGCCCTACAGGGGAGAGAGAGGTGCGGGGGGACTTCGACTGGGGCTCCCTGGGGCTGGGGCTCCTACAGGGAGCTCTCTTCACCCCCCTTGGGGTATCTTCTGTGGGGGGCAAGCGGTGACCCTCTGGGTTGGGGTCTGACAGGACCTGGACAAGGGGAACCTAGAGGAGATACAGAGGAGACATTACTGCTTCAGGACCTGTTTCAATACAAATCCAAGTTCTCTGGATTAAGTGCACCAGCTGGAATGTTGGAATGGAGCTCCTCTTGTCCACAGCCCGGCAAATCATAAACTGAAAGCACAGCGAGATGACTAACGGGAACAATACTTTGCAGACAGGCTATGTTGGTTTTTCCAAACGCTTTAGAAAAACAAACATGATTTTTTTAAACAGGACTGTCTACAGTTGCTCTTGAACTGGTTTCTGGAAAAGCCCACAAAGGTCTGAGCAAAGAGGTGCTGTAAACCAAGGTACCATGTCGATTCTCAAATGCAAGAAACGGAAACAGCCTTGCATCTTAAGGACAGTATTTCCAACAATCTGTCCTTTAGACCTCTGCTTAATGTCTCATATGACATCTCCTACAGCGCAGTGTCTCCAGGCACCAGCTTGGTGCATTAGCTGTGGAAACTGTGATCGTGGGGAAAGACCGCCACCTACTGGTCCACCAGCACCACTGCCTGTACTGATCAGGCCCCGACGTACTGAGTTAAACGAGGTCAGTGCTCTGATCATTTGATCAAAGAGATCCCCAGCGCAAGCAGGCCTCAGCTATTGAAAACATAACTGATCACCATTAAAGGGGAACTGCAGTCCCAGTTTCTCAGACCAGTTAGTTTGTTACAGGCAGGTAACAAAATAAATTCACTGACGGTATGGAAAGAAATTTTGAATTAAGCAAAAAGTCATGAACTTTGTGAAAGTACTCCAAGTCGCCATGTTGTCGCAAAATGAATACAGGCTGTGCAGCAGACACCCCCTGCAGAAATGTTTCGACGTGATCTGGACAGAGTTAACAAGTACGGTTTGACGGCAAGACTGTCTCGAACCCGAGAGCAATATTTCTATTGGATTAAAAGAGCTGGATTCACAGGCCTGCTTGTTTACAATGTGACAGGGCTGCACACCTCACTGGAAGTTCTGTGGCCTCGTTCTGAATCACAGAACATGGCGCTGCTCATACCTGGAAATTTTGTGATGTAAATCGGATATTTCACAAGTTGCTATGTACATTTTACTGCGCTTTGAAATGCACTCCTCAGTGCCGATTCTTTCTAACCCTGAAATATAAAAATAGCATTGCGGTTCCCCTTTAAGTAAAATGTTCCAATATAAACACCACCGCGTGCTCC